GAGAGAGAGAGAGAGAGAGAGAGAGAGAGAGAAAGAGGGAGGGAGAGAGAGAGATAGAAAGGGGAAGGGGAGAGAAAGAGAGAGACAGAGAGACAGAGGGAGGGGGAGGGGGAGAGGGAGCCAGTCAGAGACCATATCTTATCTTATATCTTTCAGCAAATTGGCTTTTCCTTCTGTCTTAATTGTCTTGAATTTTTCCCCAGCACATTGAATTAATTACTTAGATTGTTGTTTTAAAAAATATATAAAATGTTGCCCCATCAATTTGAACTAAAACCTAACTTTTTTTCACATGAATATTTTACACCAACATATTAAACACAATTTAGATCATTAAAAGTTTAGACGGTGGACTTTGACCCTGCCTGTCAACCCGTATTGAGAGGCATGGAAAGTCTCAGTAGAAAGACAAGATACTTGATAAAAATCCTCCCAACATGGTCTCTTGTGTGCCATTGCACAACACCTAACCGCTACAACAAAGACCTGTATCTTATATTGTACTTGTAAATGTTTAACACCCGCATTGATTTGACATTGATCATTTATGAGGCAGGCTGCGTGAATCTTGCCTGTTATGGCCAACAAGTACACAGAGGAATTCAACATCCCGGCAGATAGACAAAGATACAAGATTTAAAGAAAAACCCAGGCCATTTAAAAATCGAAATCGAACAGTGTCATGGCAAAGAGCCTTATTACTTTTACACCACAGACTCTGGTACATCTAATTAAACACAAATAAAGAAAGCACAAGGTAAAGTAGAAGACCCATACCCATACATAAGACTCTAAGGTACAACATGCAGGCAAAAGTGGGCAATACACTGATGATGACAAGGAAAATGATAATGAAAAGGGACTTTCATTTTGACTGAAGAGAAGCCTATTGAAACAGAATAACCGCCATTTAGATCTGAGGAAAAGTAAGAGATAGACAGAACCAAATAACAGAGGGAAAGAAAAGATGTAGGACTTACCAGTGGCACTCTCCAATCACTCACGATGAAAAGGGAACATATATATATATATAAAACTAGCCAATAATACAAACAAATAACCGGTAAGATAGATTCCATACAGTAAATTTATTAAAAGTACTTTTTTAGCTTCGTGCACAAAAGTAGCTCTTTGTACAGTTCTGACAGTTATTGAAACAGAATAACCGCCATTTAGATCTGAGGAAAAGTAAGAGATAGACAGAACCAAATAACAGAGGGAAAGAAAAGATGTAGGACTTACCAGTGGCACTCTCCAATCACTCACGATGAAAAGGGAACATATATATATATATAAAACTAGCCAATAATACAAACAAATAACCGGTAAGATAGATTCCATACAGTAAATTTATTAAAAGTACTTTTTTAGCTTCGTGCACAAAAGTAGCTCTTTGTACAGTTCTGACAAGTCCAATTTTACACAAAGACAGGTAAAGTGACATACCTAATACATAGCATAGACAGTTTAGACAGTCTTTTTACACAATCATTCACTGTCACTTATCACTTTAAAACTTCTCTAGCAAACAAACAAAATAGTGTTCTTCTTAGGGGTCAACAATGAGTGGTCAGAGGTAAGCCATTACATGAGGCACAAGAGGCAACAACGAGGGGTCGGAGCTAATTCAAGACTTGAATCCTAAAGGATCAACACAGGTCAGACTACAGGCTAAGTTCTGAAGGGTCGCCAAGAGCTAACCGAGGGTCAACAACATGGGGTCGGACTAAAGCTAACTCAGGACGAGAGTACTAAGGGACAACAATGTGGGGTCGAAATGAAGGCAAAATTATAAATGGTCAACAACGAGGGGTTGGCAATAAATCAAGCCATGAGTCCTGAGGGTCAACAACGTGAGGTCGGACGAAAGGTAAAGTTCTAAAGGGTCACAGCTAAGTCAAGACATGAATCTTGAGGGTCAACAACGTGGGGTTGGACAAAAGGTTAAGTTCTAAAGGTTAAGTTCTAAAGGGTCACCAATTTGAGTTGGACCTAAGTCAAGACATGAAACTTGAGGTTCAACAACGTGGGGTTGGACTAAAGGTTCAGTTCTAAAGGGTCACCAATTTGAGTTGGAGCTAAGTCAAGACATGAAACTTGAGGGTCAACAACGTGGGGTAGGATTAAAGGCAAAGTTCTAAAGGGTCACAGCTGACTTGAATCTTAAGGGTCAACAACTAAAGGTAAAGATCTAAAGGATCACAGCTAAGTGAAGACAGTCTTAAGGGTCAACGACGTGGGGTCGGACTAAAGGTAAAGTTCTGAAGGGTCACCAATTTGGGTTGGAATAACAGTCAATACATGAAACTTGAGGGTAGGGTCAACAACGTGGGGTTGGACTAAAGGTAAAGATCTAAAGAGTCACAGGTAAGTCAAGACATAAGTCTCAAGGGTCAACAACGCGGGGTCGAACTAAAGGTAAAGTTCTAAAGGGTCACCAAAGGGGGTCGGAGCTAGGTCAAGACGTGAGTCTTGTGGGTCAACAACAACAACATAATAACAATAATAATAATAATAATAATAATAATAATAATAATAACAATAATAACAATAATAACAATAATAACAATAATAATAACAATAATAATAACAACAATAATAATAATAACAATAATAATAATAATAATAATAATAATAATAATAATAATAATAATAATAATAATAATAATAATAATAATAATAATAATAATCACACACAACACACTCTTACACTTGCTTTTGACACACGCACGCTTACACATTATCAGAACATCATTATGAAACGAGCACATACAAATACATACTAAAATAATATATACAACGCAATTTGCAAAATACATAAATGGATACATATTCATTTACATAACATTGTACTGAACATGAATCTACTTGTATAAAAATGATGTCATTAAATGTGTCTTTAAAGATATTTTAAATTTAGACTCACATGTATGTCTCAAGGGTTGAGGAAGAGAGTTCATAATTGATGGAGCGAGGAGGGCAAACGATCTTTCAACATGAGGTCGGACGAAAGGTAAAGCTCTAAGGAACACCAAGAGGGATCGGTGTTAAATCAAAACATGAGTCCTGAGGGCCAACAATGTGGGGTCGGACTAAAGGTAACGTTCTAAAGGGTTACCAATTTGGGTTGGAGCTAAGTCAAGACATGAGTCCTGAGGGACAACAATGTGGGGTCGGACGGAAGGTAAAAAGGTACAGTTCTTATGAGTCACATATAAGTCAAGACATGAAACTTGAGGGTCAACAATGTGGGTTGGAATAAAGGTAAAGTTCTAAAGGGTCACAAGAGGAATCGGAGTTAAGTCAAGACACGAGTCCTGAGGGTCAACAACGTGAGGTCAGACTAAAGTCTTAAAGGGTCACCAAGAGAGATTGGAGCTACAGTAGAGCACACCTATTAAGAACACTCTTGTAAAGAACTGATGGAAATAAAGAACACATTTCTCTGCCCTGTTATTTTTTTCTCTGTTTCATTTCTATTTTGATGCATTTAGTAAACATACTGAAGGTTGTATGTAACGAACCTATTTTCTTCCCCAACAAGTATTTTCCCTTCTTATTTATGACTGAAGTAACGAACCAGCCCATCTCTACGAGTTGACCTAACCAAGAGTTGCGCAACTGCCATGCGAGTCTGCCTTCACAGTGACTAAACACTGCCCTCACACTTATCGGTACAAGCGGGTGGCTGAAACAATGGATTCGCATCTTTTTTTCTTTGTTCAACCAATCCCCTAGCCCGAGGCTTGGGGAGGGGAGGCGCCATTCAATTTATGGACATTGACACTAG